CGCCCTGCCCTGGTGACTCTCTATTACTCCCTTATCTATCCATATCTCAACTATGGTATTTGTGCTTGGGGCTCTACTACCCAAAATCACTTACGTCCTCTAATTACTCAACACAAAGCTGCTATTAGGACAATATCCAACTCTGGCCCCAGACATCACTCGGTACCCCTACTCAAATCTCTGAATATGTTAGACATTAAGTCACTGCACATTCACTCATGTGTATTATACATATACAAAACGCTAAATTGTAATGCCAATCCTGATCTCAAAAGCTTCATAGAAGGTTGTAACAGAACCCATGAGCACCACACCAGAAATAAATACAGTTTTGATATTCCTAGAGTACGACTTAATCAAACCAGAAATGCTCTACAAATCAAGGGGCCCAGGATGTGGAATGACCTTCCCAACCATGTTAAAGACAGTACCTCTCTCAACCAGTTTAAGTTAAAAACGAAGCTATACCTAATAAATTCCATGTAACCTACCTTACCCTTCTATTGTCAACCCATGTATGTTTTTTTTTTTTTTTTTTTTTGTTTTACAAATCAACGCTGTTTTAATGTAATTTTCTGTAATAATTTATAATTGTATTTGTGCTGTTTTTTCAACAATGTTCCCCCCCTCTTTTACCTCTATTTTTATTTGTACTCAACGCATTTTTTTCTTTTTACCCATTAGTTTTAAGCTTTAGTCAGTAGTGTTTTTTTCCTGCCCGAAACGCTTTGCGTAATAGTGGCTTTAGGCATTGTATGTACTAGCTCTATCTATAAAGCCAACAAACTTTGTAAAATCTCTTTATTGATCATAGGGGCTGCCGTTGGCTTCCAACTGTTTCCTCCATGTTCCTCTTGCACAATTTTTCCTTGCTGCGAGGATACATCTATCCTGCTTGTAGGACCCGCTCTAGTCTCTTTCAGATGAGGCTTCATGGGGCATAGAGAGGAACCAGCATTGTGGCTGCCTCGACAGTTGCAACAAAATGGGATGATTTTTTCACTTCTTTCAATCTTGACTCTACCTCTAGTCCTGATTTTTCCCACAATACCGACATCTGTCAAACTGGCATTTCCATGCCATATGTCCCCAACGTGAACACTTCATGAACAGTATGGGCTCCTCAACGTATTTTGCAACGTTCCTATAGCCTAGTCCTTGCACAAAAATTTTCTCCGGCGCCTCACCCTTTACCAAGGCAACAACCTGGCTTCGTTTGTCACCACGAACACTGTTCCCCTTCGCCCAGACAACATTATCATTGTTAAGAAGAAGAGTCAGGATCCAAATAAGTTGGAAACTTGAAATGGCCACTGCTTCGCAAAGCGGGGATGTTTCTGATGGGGGAGAAAGAAACATTTGCGCAGCGCGTCCCGCGGCGTTGCGCGGGCAGTTTGGGGCCGTATAAATACGGGGGCACAGAGGGGCTCTGCCCTCACTCTGCCTGCCCCCGCCCTCGCAACCACTCCCCGGCCGCCCGACTTCGCACGAGATGGACATCACGCCAGCTGCCTCGGTACCTGGCCTCTCTCTCACGGACATCATGGGGCCCTCGACACCCCAGACCGATCCGGCAGGGGCCTCCTGCCCTACACTTTTAACCCCAAGGTGAGGTTTTCTGCTCAATTCTAGTCAGGACCTCCCCAGTGCGGTGTGTGCCAAGCGCCATCCCCTCGCGGTACGTGTGTGCCGACTTAGTCCTTTGGGCTCTCTGCTGCTAGTTCCCGGGAGAGCTGGGGTGCCCTTCTTGGCCCCGTGTCTGGCGCCCCCGTGCCGTGCAGGTCGCGTGGCTGGCTTAGGGTCGGCGTGCGCCGGGCCGCGTCCCTAGGGGCCTGCGTTCGGTCTCCTCTCAGGTGGGGCACCGTCCAGCCGCGCCCGTCGTGTCCAGGGGGCCCCGCAGCGTGGCGTGCCCAGGCGCGCGCCCTGCCCGGGGCTCCGTCGGCGGCCAGGCGTGCCCTTGCCGGCGTCGCCACGTGGCCAGGCGTGAAGGGCCCTTCGCCCTTCGTGCTCTGCCTTGGGGCCCATGCCTTGCCGCCATCGACCACGTGTCTGGTTGTCTGGGCGTGCTTCGGCGTCCTTCCCGCCTTTCCTTCGGGGCTCCCTGTTGCCGGCCCGCCGGGTTCCCTGGGCTGTCCCAGGGGGCCAGGTTTCTCCTTGTCCGAGGACATGTGTCGCCGTCGGCGTCGGCTTGTGGCCAGGTTCGGTCCTACGCCCGGGGCGCATGTTCTTGGCGGCGGCGACACGTGGCCAGGCGTGGGCGGCCCTATGGCGGGCCCCGCCTTGGGGCCCATGCCTTGCCGGGTCGTCACGTGCCTGGCCGGCAGGGCGTGCTTCCGCGACTCTCCTGTTTTTCCCTCGGGTGTTCCCTGTTGCCGGTCTGCCGGGTTCCCTGGGCTGTCCCCAGGGGTCGGGTCTCCCTGTGCGGACACGCGTCGCCGCTGGCGACGGTTCGTGGCCAGGTTCCGACCCTTCGCCCGGGCCTGCTACGGGGCACACGCCTGGTCGTGCTGCCACGTGGCACGGCGCTCCGTGGAGCGCACGGCTGGGCTGTGTTCTGCCCTTCCTGTTCCCTTATTTGGGTGCTAATCCACGTGGCTTTGCGCCACGGCTTCCCCACGTCGGGGCTCGGGCTGCCTTGCGCCCGTACGGGCGCGCCTGTGTGCGGCCCCCCCCCCCCTCCCTTTCGTCTAGGCCCTGAGCATTCCGTGTGGCAGCGCGTGGTTGGTAGGCCACGGGGTCCTTGGCGTGTGTGGTGTGTTCTCAGCTAGGCACGTCGCCCTCGGACGTCTCGCCTGGCCGTGTTGCCCGGGGAGTTAGTCCCAGGCCCTTTGGAGTCCCGGAGTCCCCTGGTACGTCTTCCCCGGAGTTGTCGCCGAACAAGTTGTCCCCAGACGTCCGTCTGCCCGGTGTAAGCTCGGCATGTAGTCCCCAGACGTACATCTGGCCGGTGTAGCCCTGTGTGTTATTTCAAGCTTTCCGTCGTCCAGGCCCTCAGGCTCGTGTCCTGCTTGCCTGGGGGGTAGCCAGGACCGTTACTCCATGTCCTCCGTCTGGCCGGTGTTGCCCGGCAGGTTGGTTCCCACGGGGTCCTTGGCGTGTGTGGTGTGTTCTCAATTAGGCACGTCGCCCTCGGACGTCTCGCCCGGCCGTGTTGCCCGGGGTGTTAGTCCCAGGCCCCTTTGGAGTCCCGGAGTCCCCAGGTACGTCTTCCCCGGAGTTGTCGCCGAACAAGTTGTCCCCAGACGTCCGTCTGCCCGGTGTAAGTCCGGCATGTAGTCCCCAGACATACGTCTGGCCGGTGTGTTATTACAAGCTTTCCATCGTCCAGGCCCTCAGGCTCGTGTCCTGCTTGCCTGGGGGGTAGCCAGGACCGTTACTCCATGTCCTCCGTCTGGCCGGTGTTGCCCGGCAGGTTGGTTCCCAGGCGTTCCCGCCTGGCCGGTGTAGCCTACGTTGCAAGTTCAGCGTTCGTCCGCCTGCCCGTCCGCCTTGTGTCGTCGGTTGTTCTTCAACGTCGGAGGGGGACGCTGGCGTTGTAAGCACGGACCCGAGATCAGCACCCCATACTGCCAGTATCTTTCTTCCCCTGATCAGAAAAACTATGATCTTTGTGTGCAACATACCTTCTTCTGGAGGAACCATCACTACATTCTCAAAACCAACCGTCGTGAGGCGTTCCACGGCCTGTTCAGTCCCAACTGTTTTGTAGGGCCGGTGAAGGCCCTCCTTGAAAAGTATAGTTCGTATTCCAAACATTGTTTAGCTAGACGTACCGTCCACTCTAGCTTTTGGTGGAAATTCAATTGGCATGTTGTAGGGAACAACAGCCTCTTCCTTCTTGTCTTGTCTTGCTTGTCTTGAGTCTTGCTGAGTAGGGTCTCATTCTTTGGTCTCTTTGCAATCTCATCGTCACTCTCACTGTCTCGCTGTCTGTTATTATTTCTCCGTTTCTTTTTGTTCACTACTAGTTCAAACGGTCGATTATCATCTTGTCTGTCCTCCTCACTACCACTTAGGCATACCGCCTCATCCATTTCTTCGACGCTGTCAATAATCGAGAACAAATGCACAATATCCTGTATCACCACGTGCAAAAACGAAGAGTGTGGGGCAATCCTCCACCTCCCTTCAATCAGCGGACGCCAAGAGCGCCAACCTAGCGACCGCACACAACCGTGGTCTGGCTACAACTGATGATAGACAGAATACTTAGGAACTACAAGAATTTTGCCCCAATGATTGTAACACTTACTATATTAATCTGCAATGTTAAATGTTGTATTGTGATTTGTGTATCTGTACTCACTGAATTTGTGCGCCCCTTGAGGGACTTGAAGTGGAGGGGGGTAGAAATAGCCTAAGCTACTCTATCCCTTTGAGATGTATTTTTTCTTGTCTCAATAAACATACTTGAACTTGAATAGCAAATAGCAATACAGTAAGTGACAAATGAAAATTATTATTATCTAATTTAATTAGCAATTCTGTTAATTATATTACAATATAACACGTATTCGCTCACACCTCCAAAATTTTTATTATTACTATTGGTATTATTATTATTATTATTATTATTATTATTATTATTATTATTATTATTGTTATTATTATTATTGTTGTTATTATTATTATTGTTATTATTATTATTATTATTATTATTATTATTATTATTATTATATTATTATTATTATTATTATTATTTATTATTTATTATTATTATTATTTATTATTATTATTATTATTGTTATTATTATTATTATTATTATTATTGTTATTATTATTATTATTATTATTATTATTATTATTGTTGTTATTATTATTATTATTATTATTATTATTATTATTATTATTATTATTTATTTATTATTATTATTATTATTATTATTATCTCTTCTTTTTGAGGCTAGGTGCAGTTTACACTATTATTATTAGTATTAGTATAGTTTTATTATTAGTAGTAGTAGGAGTAGTAGTTTTATTATTATTATTAGACTAGGGTTGCCAGTAGTGTTATTGTGTGGGTCGGGACGCAGACCTCAGCCGGACGCCAGCCACACTGTTTGTTTGGTCGAGGGGGGCAGAGTGGCGACTGTGACACGGGGCACAGTGGAGCCAGGTACTGTGACACGGGGCACGGTGGAGTCAGGTACTGTGGCACGGTGGAGCCAGGTACTGTGACTCGGGGCACGGTGGAGCCAGGTACTGTGACAAGGGGCACAGTGGAGTCAGGTACCGTGACATGGGGCACAGTGGAGCCAGGTACGGTGACATGGGGCACAGTAGAGCCAGGTACTGTGACACGGGGAACAATGGAGCCAGTGACACAGTGCAGAGGAGCCAAAAACTGTGACATGGGGTAGAGTGGAGCCAGGTACAGTGACACGGGGCATAGTGATGCCTAATACTGTGACACAGGTCACATTTAATAATAATACATTTACAATAATAATTCATTGTGTCGGGGGACAGCAGCCAGTTTATACACAGAGTAACTGTTAGGCTTATATTATAGGTTCCTCCTCCCTTTTAGGATCAAATTACTGACCCTCCTAAGGATGCAGCTCTACAACAAGCTGACTAACTCCTGAATACCTACTTACTGCTAGGTTAAGAGGGGCATTAGGTGATAAGAAATGTGCCCAACCATTACTGTGCCGCCCGGGATTTGAACCCAGAATTCTCAACTATGAGTCAAGAATGAACTCAATGGTACTGGTCGAACTCTTATTAGAATCTGACCAGATTGTCAGCTGGGTTAACCTGTGTGTTGCATTTCCACAATGGTCGTCCAAGTTTAAATTGAACGCCCCAAGAATATTGTTGAAAACATTTGATAACTTATTAAACCAAAAATTGAAAGTTTTTAACATTTGGTTAGGTTAGGTCAGGTCAAGTCAAGTCAGTGTTTTACCACTGTGCCATGGGGACTTCATATCTATGGGAAAATTTTGAATGTTAAAATCGGCATTCGCCGATTTTAACTTTGGCAACGATTTGTTGACCCAGTTGCTACTTTGGTCAGATTTCATTATGGTTCGGAACAGTACTACTGGGATCGTCCTTAAACTAGGTACTGTGATACAGGGCACAGTCGAGAAAGTTCTATACAGACACTTTGGGTACAATAGGGCAAGTTACTGTGGTTACAATAGGGCAAGTTACTGTGGTTTTGAATTAAGCTGGGTACTGTTATCTTGAGGTTATCTTGATGATTTCGGGGCTTTTTAGTGTCCCCGCGGCCCGGTCCTCGACCAGGCCTCCACCCCCAGGAAGCAGCCCGTGACAGCTGACTAACACCTAGGTACCTATTTTACTGCTAGGTAACAGGGGCATAGGATGAAAGAAACTCTGCCCAGTGTTTCTCGCCGGCGCCTGGGATCGAATCCAGGACCACAGGATCACAAGTCCAGCGTGCTGTCTGCTCGACCGACCGGCTCCACCTGTCATGCTTGGGGCATGTTAAAGCTCAGGACTGTCAGCACAAAGGGGCTAGGTACTGTGATGTCACATAATAGCCAGGAACTGTGGCACTTAACAGAGTAAAAACAGATATTGTGATGGTGCAGTAGAGTCAGATGTGGTGCCAGCGGGACAGGGCACGTGTGGTGCCAGCGGGGCAGGGCACATGTGGTGCCAGCGGGGCAGGGCACGTGTGGTGCCAGCGGGGCAGGGCACGTGTGGTGCCAGCGGGGCAGGGCACGTGTGGTGCCAGCGCGTCATGGCACGTGTGGTGCCAGCGGGGCAGGGCACGCGTGGGGCCAGCGGGGCAGGGTACGTGTAGAGCCAGCGGGGCAGGGCACGTGTGGGGCCAGCGGGGCAGGGCACGTGTGGGGCCAGAGGGGCAGGGCACGTGTGGGGCCAGCGGGGCAGGGGGACGTGTGGGGCCAGTGGGGCAGGGCACGTGGGGTGCCATGAAGGTTAAAAATAAAGGGTTGCAAGAGCAGTGATTGTATCACTACTACTACTATGGTGGTTTACATCATCTGTCTGTTGCTTCTGTTCACCTAGTAGTAAGTAGGTACCCGGGAGATAGGCAACTGTTGTGTTTGCATCCTGGGGGAGGGTCAGTAAATTAACCCATGGAGGACCTTGGTAAGCCGAAGTACAGGCTTCCTGTCTGTGACAATGGGAACGATTATATACTGTCGCACTTTGCGCACAATTAGACCAGGTACGATGGCAGTATAATAGGGCCCAGGTGCTATGATAGGAGACATGATGGAAAGAACTTTTCCATAGAGTTCTGTGATAGGCAGGGAATTGAGACACCCTTGGATGAGTGGGGCCAGGCAGTATAACAGGGGCATAGTGGGACGAAGTAGTGATGTCACGTGTAACCATAGTGGAACCTAGGCACTTGGACACTGAGTACTTTGTGGCTAAGTAGCCTGCTTTGACAGGGTTTAGTCAGTCATACCTGGGACAAAGGAATGTAAATGTGCTGACTATTCACAACAGGTCTAGATAATGCAGTTGTATGGCAGCATTTTTCAACCTTTACATGCTTGAAATAATCCTGGGCTGTCCTTTAGATATTCAGACACATTTCAATGTCAACCAAACAAGAAGAAAGACGTGATTTATGTCTTTGCTCTTGATACTGGTTAAATAATAGAAATTAAAGACAACAATGACAAGAATATATTTGCATATAATTAGAATTAACTTATTTGTGTCCTTTGCGGACCCCTAGTTACCTAGGTGTGTGTTACCATTAAGCCTTGTGTGTTACCATTAAGCCATTAAGCCTTAAAATGATTTAAGGGTGTAAATCATTTATACTGTATAGGATTTTGGACTTACTGCTTGGAGGGTGCAAATGATGTAAATATGATTTGCAGATTTAAAATATTTAAAGTAGTCGTGCACATACACAGGGCTCACATTTGCTACCTCAGGCCTCTAATAACTCTCTCCCATCTTGAAAAAAAAATCCCAAGTCCCTAACTTTCCTTTCAGGGCCTTAATAAAAAAAATGAGGACTATTGTATGGCAACATCACCATCCAGTGTCTGAATGTTTAAGGCAGCCATAGAGGAGACAATAAACTTTTAACAACAGCAAATGAGTGATTACCGATATCATGTACAGTGGCACCTTGGTTTACGAATTTAATCCATTCCAAGAGACGGATCGTAAATTTGTAAACCGAAACAAATTTTTCCCGTGAGAGATTGAACGAAATGAGAGGAAATGAATGGCATGGTAAACAACACAACTCAATTTCAATGCAATGTCACACAAAATGAATTAAATCAAAATGAAAATAAATCAAAATTTATGAAAATTAAATTTATCAATGCAATCAGAAACATTGAAATGGAATCGTAACATATTTAGTATAGAGTGAGTTGCTATTACGTGCAACAGATGGCGCTGTTTTTCAAAAAAGCATGTTTTTACATGTCACAGGTGTGGCCTCTATATAGTCAGTACAATGGGGCCTCGACTTACGATGCTAATCCGTTCCCAGAGACGGATCGTATGTCGAAATATCGTAAGTCGAAGTGATTTTTCCCATAAGAAATAAAGGGAATTGAATTAATCCGTTCCCCACCCTCCAAAATATTAACATACAAATACATTTTATACTGAATATAATGTTTTTTTCTAACTTCAATACAGTACCTAAGTTTCTCTTACCTTTATGGAGGGCTCTTGATGGCGTATGGAAGATGGTGATGAGGGGGGAGGAGGAGAGTTGTTACTGTTTGGAAGGGGAGTCCCCTTCCATTATCACATCAGGCAGTGATGTTTTCTCTGGGGTACTCTCTCTCCTACGTTTTGCCTGAACACCACTAGGACCTGGTTGTGGTTCAGTGCTTGTTTGTCTCACTTCAAATTTGTCAAGAGACATTTGTTTTTCCCTTCGTCTTAACATTTGTCTGTAAAGATGTATCACAGTGTCATTGAATAGGTTAAGGCAACGACCTACTGCAGCTTGATTTGGGTGAATCGTTTCAGCAAAGGTTTGCAATTCTTCCCATGCTGCACACATTTTCTTAATTGTTAAGGAAGAGACATTCTGTACTCTTGTTTCTGCTCTATGGTCATCCTTACATTTACTTTAATTACTTTACTGTTCAAAATGCAAAAAATCGCCACAAAAGCGGAATTTCTTATAGGCGCGATCGTCACTAAGCGGGCAGCTGTAGTAAACTGAGGCAGATCGGCCACGTGACCGGGAACCACGCGCGCGGTCAACCCGAACATGTACCAACAAATATCGGAAGTCGACGACACCATCGGATGTCGAGTCGCATTTTTCGATGAAATTTACATCGTAAGTAGGGGCAATCGTATATCGAGGTGCCACTGTATATAAAAACACACATGTATATAATATGTATATATAAACCCGCTCGGATGCGAATGGAACGTTGTGTGAAAATTTCAAAGCAATCGGTGAAGAACTTTCTGATATTAGCGATTTTGAACAAACGAACATTTACATTTTTATTTATATAGATTTGCCTCATTGAAGAAAAAAAAGGGCCTAATTTCATCTTCATAGTTTCCTACCTTGTGCTTTAAAATTGCACTGTATCTAGTGCTACCCAATCCCCCAATTTTTATGTACCTAATCCAAACAACTTTACCATTGTGATCATTGCTGTCTTCTTATATGTTGCTATCAAAATGCTGTATTGTGCCTATTAATTTTTGTTAAGTTACAAATCAAGCTGTCAATGCAATCACTCAGAGCTACTGATGTGCTTTAATATACTTACTAATCTCTCTCATCTCATTTTTTCTTGCAGTGTACTTGTTAACATTTTATAAATTTTGCTAGAATTTACCTACTTAAAATTATCTGTTAGGTTAAGGACCTGCCCGAAACGCTGCACGTACTAGTGGCTTTACAAGAATGTAAATATCATGCTATGTATCCTCACAAACCCAGTGTATCTTCTTGTATATATATTAATAAATAAATAAATAAATAAATTACTTATTGTTACACAGCCAAATTGTTTAACAGGAAGAAATCTTGGACCCCTACTTCCCTCTCTTTTTTTAATAGGTCATAATAGTCCATACAGTCATAATTATAGGTTTAAGTATTCAGTGAGAGAAGTTTTTGAAGTTTTTACCCTTCTTACCTAACATCATTTG